ATATTAAATGTATGTGTATATGAATATATATATATATATGTATAGATATATATATATATACTGTGTATTTTCATGCAGAAGTCAATGGCGGTACACATAAAGTGTTGCAGACGTCTGCGTGTCCTATTGCGATAGTCTGCGTGTCCTATTCCGATAGAATTGTAAACTTGACTTAAGCAGTTTTCCTGTCTAGCAAGAATATCGTAATATTTTGGATTGTCGCAAATGGTAGATATCAGTGCAGATAACAGATTGAGGGGTGAATTTGATTGGCGACTAATTTTTATTAACGATATTGCTGGATCCTCAAACCGAAAGCTATGATGACCCACGTCAGAACGAGCCCACTTCAGTTGCAGATCAAAGTAAATCGGTTGTGTTTCCGTTGCTTGGGATAGCAAATTGTGCTTCTGAACTTACGCAGGTAAGAAGGTATAGCAGACCCACGCGATTATTATATTCACTGTGGGTTGTCTGATTTGAACAACGATAATGAAAGCACCTTGCTTGACAACTAATCTATAATCTGTGCAAAATAGAAGGAACATGTGAATTAACATACTTTTTTATGTTCTATCACGTGGGCTACCTGTAGTTTAATGACCATGTATCTCTAAGATCGTCATCCTCGTTGGTCGTCATTGATTTGCTTCATGTTTTGTTTTGGATGGTCAGAATATTCGGTGTCTCTGCAAAAGCAGTGTATTAGCAGCATACTCTTTATCATGTTGCTTGTATTTGTTACTTTAGATACTACGTCCGCTTTTGGGGCTCATAATTACTTTCGCTTTGGATAAGTGCGAGTTAAACCCCACATCTATCACAAGCGTATTAGGCGCGCGATTTCTTGTTGTTTGTATGCCGTCCGCTGATTTTTCTATCACGTAGCGACGGTCACTATGAATCTTGGTAGTTTTTTTTGCAACATATTCAACGTACAGACATGGTGCAGAAGATTTCATTTCAACAAATCTACAACAGAAGCCTAAATCATCATTTCCTTGTTAACACATTGCCTGCCTGTAAAAATTCCCGTTATGAGATACTAGCATTATGTAATTTTGTAAATTGTTTTGAATGTGCACACGAACAGGAACAGGTGAGTACTCCTGTTCTCGACCACCCAGCCGTAGCTCACAATGAAGGATTGACAAAACAACTAGACCACCAGAATACCATCCCTGCAGTGAGACAGAAACGGGGCCCTGGCAGGCCGCCGAGACATAAGGAGAGCACCACTAGCCCCCCAAAAACGGTACGGTCAAAGAGGGGACGTCCTAAAGGCAAACAGAATAAGGGGATGGTCAGCAGACAGATCCTAAAAGACCAGAATAGTCTGAAGGCGATGAAGAATACGCTGTTGTTTGCGTCTCTGAAAAACAAGATCTTACCAAGCTCAGAAACACAACAAAGTGAGTACGCCAGGCGATGTTGTACAAGATTGTCCTGTGTATGAATATTCCTGAATGTTCTCTGGTTCTGTTTGTCTATGCAAGCGTACTTGTAGACTTTGCGTTACTGCGCATAGCAGTGAATACGACAAGTTGAAGCGCGCACACGTGTAAGTATGCGTGTAAAATGGAATTGTGAACATTATATTTTGGAATACGCACAACGATACTTGCACATACATAGGAAGTTGACACGTGCAGATTGTAAAATCACGTGTATTTGAGCGGATTTACATATATGTCGATTCAATTACAGTTCGAAAATATAAACGCAATCATACTCACTACGCCCATTCTATCCAGATCACTTTGCATTTGCCGATCGACATCATTCGAATCAATTCACACCAATGCCGTACCCAGATGTTCCTTCGTTGCCAGACGGTGTCTTAGCAGATGTGAGGGTAGGTTTGATGTAGTGTTCTTTTAATGTAGTAGAATCTATTTTGCCTAGAGATCATTGTATTGCCAGATGGTGTCTTAGTTTGAAGTGGATTTTTTTAATGTAGTAAAGTTTATTTTGCCTAGAGGTCATTGTTCGGATGCCATATTTTGTATTTCGTTTGTTTTCCTACGCCTCGTTCCCAATCTTCTCATTTCTACAAAACTAGACGAGCTGTGCATCGGTAACTGGGCTTGCACACTAACAGGCAGCATGTTCAATGCATGAATGCTAACCAAATTTGTGTAAGTATAGTAGTAGATGATTTCAAGTGGACCAATAACTCTATAACAGACAAATCGTGACGGACTTTACGCCACAAAGAATTGCTCTCATTCGCACATCCACAACAATATGTGATCAATGCTGTAACGCTTCCATATATATTCTTTTAATACAGAAAGCAAACATCGGCTGGACGGAAGGACTGATACCTAAACCTTCAGGCGAGGTGTGTTGAAATAGTTGATGGGGCTTGTATATACAGTAGCCAGCATGTGGCTATCTTGAGGACTTGCTGCACGTGTGCATACTTGAAGACTATGAAGCTCACATGTGGCTATTTTGAGGATTTGCTTCACGTGTACATACTTGTAGACTTTGAAGCTCAGCTCGCCAATATTCATTTTAATATGCATTCCTTTACCAAACTCCAAGCAGGTTCACCTACACCCAGATATATTCAAAGATATACTGAGGCTGCAGGAGTACATAGATCCTATAGTCTCTCAGCGACCATACCAAGTAGATGCAGCTCGGTACGTGAAACAGCAGACTCTGATGCGTGATCAAAAGCGACAAGCAGACCTTGCAAAGCAAAATGCAAAGCAAAATGCAAAGCAACAGCAGCGCATAGAACTACTCCACAACAGCAAACGACTAGGTCACATACCCCAGTCACGCCAGCCAACCAAACAGCGTGCGATACATACACCTGGAGTTCGTCCTGATTTTCAGCGAGGCCGTATTTCATCAGCTGGTACGGATGTTCCCGGCGCGCGATGTGTGATTCCAGATACTGACACTCGTAAGAAAAGGAAAGGGGTAGGGCTACGGACAAAAGCGCAGTGCACTTCACAGGACCGGGATACATCGCTTGCGAGGATACTACCTGCTTCGCAGATTTATAGCGCGCCAACGGCCGCCATATCATATCCGATTGGTTCGCCAGCGTCGGATGTGGGTCAGTCACATAGCCGATTACTGTCACCGGCAGAAATGTATGGTATGCATACTGTCAAATTAAAGGCTCGCATCCCCATATCACAAACACACGGCAGTCAGTCATATCCCACCCCAAGCCAAGGATTGGAGGAGTGCCAGAGTTGGATAGGTAGTGTGAGTGGATATGATGATAGCGGCGTGAACCTTGGTTCATATCCGGACTATATGGAGATGGAGGAAAATTGCACGCAACTGAACCCGCTAAGCCACGCAGCCACAGGGCGACATACGGATTCACTAGGTGCAGGCTTGGGAGATCAAGTTCCACTAACGCCAAAAAGGCGATTCGTGGATATTCGAGAAGGACTCTCATCGACGGAAGAGAACAGAATAGGACAACCTCGTGTCCATATTGAATTATTCGCCCCTGGTCGATCAGAGGTGAATACAATCGACAGTCAAATTACACGTCAAACGTGGAGTAATCGACGATCACACCGTGTCCTGTACCAAAATACAAGCCACATGATGGGCCCTCAACACACCGCGATGAGTACTGCACCCTCTATCAAAGCCCATACAAATCAATCCGCCCTTCAATTGTCCCATTCTGTACCTTTGAGCGGCAGTCGGTTTGCTTTTGGAGATGAGTGTTCCGAAGCCTCCGACTCTGACTACTCAAGTGAAGATTCAAGTGACACAGATCAAGCGGAATCTGCCGGTGCACCTTCGTATCCCAAATCACACGCACACACGCTCATCGCGCCGCTATTGCAGCATCAGCAGTCCGTAGGTGAGTCTCAGGAAAGAGACGATTTCGAAGAAGCCTGGAGACTACCACATTATCACCGGAAAAGGAGGAAGGTCGGTCACTCTGGTAGAGTTGCCGGAGATCGAGTAGGTGAAACACTGAAATATTCACACGCATCCAACTTGCAGGGAACAAGTGATTTGTCTCTGTTTCATCAGAGGGCCTCGGTGGGTGGCCTAGGCAACCCGGGGGCACTTCCACGGATTCGGAGTCACTCGCACATACCTACAACAACAGCAAAGGGACACACACCACTAAAGTTGTCGTCAGTTGCGCCTCTGCCTCCATTGCCACCGTTACCGTTACGCTCTTCCTCACTACCACCCGACACATTGAGCGCACAGTTTCATAGTGGGTCTCGGCTGCAACTATCACCACAAGATAATCACCAACGTTTAGTATCGAATTCGTGCGTTGGCGGGTCTAGCACGCACGCGGGATCGAGCACGGAAAACGCAGCACAGAATAGTACTTCAGAACTGGGCTTATCAGAGCTGAACCCTTTGACGGTTCATGCCGCGCCTATTTCCACGCACACACTAAACGACACTCCATTTGGGCACAACTATCAGTCACTGGTGGTCCTTTCCGGTGATGCATTCCCATCGTTGCAGCCAGCTACACACACAGAGTTGCATCACCTGAGCCCACTTCCCGACTTCTACGGACTCGCACCTCATGAGCAGTCAACGCTGGAGAGCATGTCGACCGTAGCATCTTTAGAACACCCAGTGTCAAATACACTGGCCTCCATTGGGGACATGCAAGATGGTATCACGGCTGCTACCACGCTGACGTCGATGCACTACAAGCCTATCGCGTCGCAAAGCGGTGAAACAATATCCTCAGAATCAAGCTAGCATGCATTACAGACCGAGTCTTACAGGCTGAGTCACAGAGCAAAACATTAAAGGACACTTGCTTGGTTCGCTGCCAAAAATACTTAAGTCAGGTATGCTACTGTGCAGGGAAATTGGGGGTGTACGTCATAGATTTTGAAATTATCAAATGTGTCGACAATTACTAGAGTATTGCATTTAGATTCTGAATTTACAGCTGAAAGTAGGCGACGATGAATGAAATCTCACTCGGCAGCGATACAGCTATATCACCACACAACAACTAAACCGAGCATGGGATAGACACCATTATTTTCACTACAGTTCCCTTCAGTGGGACGTCGTATCACCTGACAATGGAACGTCCGACAACTTAAAAGAAGTTCAAGAAAATTTCGGGAGGATTCACCTGTGAACTTGCTTAGATTGTACTCGGCTGACAGCTCTGCATAGGCAGCATTCGTTGTAAATATCGACTGTTTCCCAGCGTATGCTATGTTATATAAATGTATCTGTCTCAGTACATGTGTTTCCAACACTAAGTGTGAGTATATGTGGTTATCTCATACTTTGTGTTCAATAGTAGTGTATTTCCATCTCTTGCGTTAGATTAACAATAGATTCAAGCAGCGGACACTGTGTTCCAATTCTGCGAGTGCAAACTACACTGTCCATCGTGTCATTGATACTCATTGTGGCGCTACTCTTCGGTGACAATGCATATCACTCTCTCAGCTTTAAATGTAGCTGCGAAGAACGCACGATTGAGAGACCATCTCTGAGATCACTATCAAAATGGTCCACCCCACATTTGCTGCTATAAACTACATGGCGAGCCCATGCGAACACTAGGTTGCCGCCGATTCGCACTGACAAAGGCAGTTGGAACTGTTGTATGAGAGGCATGTGTTCACGAAGAGGACAGTGCCCGCGGCAGCCATTCACAGGGCTTGATTGCTCGGACTATGTTGTATAAATAAATAATATTGTGAACACAAAGAAAAAAGGGTTTAGAAAGCGATAGAATGCACAAATCGGATACAGGAAATACATATCTGCCATGTGATATCCAATTTTGCTGTCGCACGTGTACGAGGGCGATAGGGTGTATATACAGAATCTTTTTTCTGCACGTCAGTTGTTTTTAGTATTTTTTAAACTTGGCATGTTTGCTGATACATAGCTTATAGACGATGACAAGACAAATGCAGAATTCAAATATCCTCAATATCTCCGTATGATTTGTGCATATATTCCGGAAGACGATGTAAGCAACTTTTGTGCACTGGAAGCCGACCGGTCATGTGTATGCAGCAGTTTATTCGCTACTACCCACCATTCTTTTCTAATTACTCTATTCATTTCTAGATTTAAAGGCGCCACCGACACCACATGTTAACATCGGCAGACTACTATACGGGATGCGCTGATTCCATGTTTGTTACTACTGATTTCGTGCAGTATGTGCATCCCACAGTCAAGATTCCAGCAAATACATATCTTGCACGCAGAATGATTCAAGCTATGGTTAATACATTTGAACTAGAGTAAATTACTTATATCCTTCATGCTCATGGCAAAGAAGTCAGCGCCAGCCTCTACTTTGGCTCGTTGATTGTGCTCACCGAAGCCAATAAAGAGAGACGCGGGAGGTCTTGCTTCCATATCTGTAGCGCCGTCACCGATCATAACCACATTTTTTATGACCTTTTGCCTGAATGGAATTGAAGATGCACCGCACTTAATTTACTGATCACGAGATTGCAATGGGCCACAAAATCGCTCGAGAAAAAAAATTTCGCATACAAATACAGCCAAAAAAAACCCCCTTGGCATTATACTTTACGATTTATGATACTCGCTACCAACCTGCCATAGATGCAAGTATCAAATTTAGGGGCTAGCATCGGCTTAATACTGATACAGCTGCTGTAATATGAGTAATACACGCCATTTCTCCTACAGCCGAACTGCGACTTTCTTGCGTTGGGAAAAGTGCGTTATACTTGTGCGCAACAAGTTGAAAAGAGAGGCACGGAAGACTCGTTATAGACCGCTAGTCAGCGACTGAACTTTCACACCGCACATGTTTTGCCACATCATATACACGCTAGAAATACCATCTGCACCTGGACGCACTTACAATTAGTTCCTGGATGACCTTGGGCTTTCCGCCAGTGCGGGATGTAGGCTCAGTGTCATCAAACCCGGCGTAGTCGCCTTTATCATCGAATAGAATGTTATTGGCATACACGTGATCCTCAGGTATGCCCACCTCTGCGCCAACGGGGTAGATCATTTGCCTGAATCCACCAGACACCAGATATACATCCTTACCACTATCTTTCATTTTCTGAATAAGTTCTCTGTGTTGATTGTTTTGTGATGGTTGTGCAAATGTCAGAGTGATAACTGGCATTCCGCACAATACGTATTGTCCTACTCTATATTCAAACCTCACATTTAAGATTATTCATTGATGCCCACATGTAGCTGAGTCCAATACGTAGAATGTTATGTCCGGGTTGTCTATGACCCTGCTGTTGGAAACAAACATATGATGAAATTACACAGCTAAGTAAGGATTAACAGCAGACATATCAAAGAAAAATACAGTTGTGGATTTCAATCTCGATTCTTATTTCCATCGAGAAACGATACATCTTCTGTAGCTACAAAACATACCGGCCATATGCATCTGAAATGCATAAACCAAGTCTTCTACCGTGTACTATCCAAGAAATACAGACTCCTATTATACAACCTATACATCTGTGACGATATGAGTTGCTATCTACCCCAGACCATTGCAGGGGTAAGTTTAGATAGACAACATACATACATACACATATATATCAGTATATATATATATATATATAAATATATATATATATACGTATATTTATACATACATATATACACATACTAATATAAACATACATACACATACTAATATATACATACATACATAAAAACATAATTCAAAAGATACATGCTACATAAACAGATCTGTACATATATATGAATATATAACTATATATATATATATATATATGTATATATAGATACATATATATACTTTTACACACACGTACATACATACACACATACATACATATATATATATGTATGTATGTATATATAATATACATATATATATGTATATGTATATATATTCATCATACNTAAAAATAAACACACATTATAAATATATATATTGGTATATATATATATATATATTTGTATATATATA